TTTTAGGAAAATCCAATTAACCTGCGAATAATTGTGCTCAATTATCTAATTTTTCTGTTTTTCTATTTCAAAAAACCAATTCAATCAGTTTTGTATCAAGGAGGGGAGGGGGAGGTAAAATAATATTCTGCGACTTACAATTTAATTCAAATCTATCTACTTTTTGCGGACAAATGTCAACGGAATTCATTGAAAGTATGCTCTGAGAGCAAATATTCTGGATTCCACTTTTCCCTCAAAGCATTGTTCAATTAAGCAAGTTAGTTTTTGGAGTTAGAGTTTGACGTTCTGCGAAGTAAAGTCTAATTTCGATTGATCCCTCTTTTCTGCACAAGTCTTAGGAAATTTCAAGTAAAAGTCATTATTATAAGCAAATTCTCTAAAATGACAGAAATTCAAATGAAAAACTGAGCGATTAAGCAAATTTGGTGTCGAAGAGACGTAAAATTCGACACTCTGCGCAGTAGCGCAATATTTGAGAAGACCCATCTTTCTTTTTGGTGCGAAATTTATTGAAGCATCACAATTCTGCAGTTAGGAGCAAAAGGGCTGGAAAAGCTGATGTTTAGCGAAGAATTGATCAAACAAATCTGGTCTTGAAAGGAGGTAAAATTTGACCTGCGTAGTAGAGCTTCATTTTGAGAACTCTGCTTTTCTGTTAGCGATTAGAGAAGAACAGACTGTAACATAATCTATGTTTTTCCTCTAGTTCCAAAAAACCTTCCCAAAACCTCAACTTAAAGCATTCGCAACCTTTCGAAAATGATACAAAAAGTACGAGGACAACTTTGTAGAGGAAAATAATGAAAAGTTTTTTCTTTAAACATAATAATTCCTGCATGGGCGCTCTTTTGTCGCACAAGAATCTTTATTCTATTCACGTATAAAACCGCCTACCGCTACGAGATAACTTTTTCACTGCCTTATCAGTTATTCAGAAAGCTAGTCTCCAGTACTCCTAAGACTATGTTCTGCAGACTATTTGTAGAATCCATATCATTGATTTTTATGTTAGCATGAACTTATCGGAATATTTCAGTTCAGAACTCTTCTTGTAGCAAGATTAACAGAATGAAAAACGAAGGTAAGATTTGTGAATTTGCTGGAGACAACAAATGTCTGTCTTATCGGGAGTTTCCCTGCCAGAAACCACAGACTTCTTTCAGAGGCAGCAGCTATTATGAAATCTATTGCTGATGCTTGGGAGAAGGATTATTACGCTGGGAAGTTAGAGAAAGTGATTCAAGACTATTTCCATACTGATTGTGTTGTTGTGCAAAAAGGGGAGAATGCGGTGTATGGCAAGAAAAGTGATTCCAGTTTCATCAATTACCGCTTCTATATTTGAATGAGACTTGTTTACAGTCGTAACAGAAATGTTCAAGAAAATGGAAGAAGAGTATGGACAAGTCAAATTTGAAGTGAGTTAACGCATACGCTTACATTTCTCTAACGATATTATTCAGAGGAAGAATGAAAAGTGCTGCGGTTGTGATAGCTGTATCTGCATGTCTTGTGATGTCATTATCGAATCGCCGAAGAAGGGCAAAGAACTTGGAAAATCATTTCAAATTTGGAGGAAGGAAGGCGGTAAATGGAAATGTTACCATGACGAGTTTGAAATAATGAAGAGTAACACCCGCGTTTGAATAAAGTGGTGGATGATTACAATATTCGCTTCGAGTACTGAAAGACCAATTCGATCAA